CTGTGGCAGGTACTGAGGTCCCTGGTTACGGTAACTCACAGCTATAGTTGTTTTTGACCCAATATCTCTAGAGTGATTATTTCAATTTGTTAGGATATTCTCTCGTCAGTGTAGGAAAATGTTAGTAAATTCAACAAGGCCCTGATATACGCTCTAAATCCACAAAATCAAAATCTCAGCACAAAAGACAGCACATAATTTTTCTAGGTTTTAATTTACTCTTTATCGGTGTTGTTTACAGCCTGAAACGATTTTTGTTAAATACATGAACAATGCACATGTTATAAAAAAATGTTATAAACAAACAAAAAAACATAAAAATGGAAAAAATGATGCTTGAATAAATAATTGAACTCTCAAAAAAAAAATAACAATTATTCAACTAACCTGTGAACGCTCCTTACACAAACTAATCACTAAATACAAACTTTATTTTACTATCAATTTTAATTACAAAATAAAAAGAAATTGGAAGACCCACAATGGCGGATCTAAGCTCTTACTTCGTTTCTCTTGAGCTTTTTTAAAAAATTGAGATTTGAACAAGTAATAGTTTAAATAGGTGGTTTTCCTCAAGTCCTTTTCATGTTCAGAACAAATCTTATGTGGTGAATCTTCCAACTATTTTTTTTTCCCTGTGAGTCAATGTTATTCAAGTGTGTAGAAATCCCATTATTCACATTCCGCAGCAGGTTGCAAATAATCGAATACATAGTTCAGACATCTATCTTCATTGACGCATTAATTTTGATGACGAAATAACTCGCATTGTCATCAAATTTCGCACGATTTCTACAAAACGTAAAAACCAGTCGAAAGTGATACCTATAGGTACCTATTTAAAAAAAAATACAATAATTATATTTATGAAGAGCAGTATGAGAATTTGAATATTATGCAAGGTTGTATATAGACTTTGGTTGTATGTTTAAATTAAGGTTTAATAAATAGTACGAATAATTGTTCATTTTAAAACAATTGTTTATTATTTTTATCGTTGAAGAGTGAAATGAAGAAATATTAACTAAGTACAACAATGATCCAAGAATCAAGTCAAAAGTCGAAAATAATGACTAAACTAAATCACAACTCACTGGCTCATATGAATAAAACAGAAGCAAATGCTTTTGTTTAAGTTTTTTGAGATAAACATATTTATCCTAAATGCAGCAAAAAGAGATGGAGGTAGAGTAAAAGCATTTGCTACACTTTATTCATTTTTTTTTTTTTTTTACGGGTATGCGCACTCGCAAGGAAATGTCCTATCACGCTCGAGAAGCGGCAAGTGCGCGGAAATGTCGGTGTATGTTGGTCTTGAAACGGTTCAGGTTGTAACCTGCAGGGAAAACCGTCGCAGGGAGTTTATTCCACAGCGATGCTGTTCTCCAGAGATATGAGTTCTGATATAATGAGGTTCTTGGTGCCTCTAGTTTGACAGTAAATTCATGGTTACCGTCTGTTTGACGGGTTCGCCTGGTAGGCGCTACTCTCGGTGGAATCATACGTGCCAACTCTTCAGTGCATTTTCCGTGATAGTACCTGTAGAAGAGAGATAAATCGCCCACAGATCTGCGATGTTCGAGACCATCCAAGTTACGAGTAAGTGCGGGGTCATTGATCAGCTTGATAGCTCGTTTTTGCACGGTGTTCAAAAGCATTAAGGTATGTTTGGGTGCTGCACTCCATATATGTGAGCAGTACTACATAGTTGGTCGAATCTGGGCTTTGTAGAGTGTCAGCAATTGGCTTGGTGTGTACAGATGTCTTGTACGAAATAGCACCCCCAGCTTTTGGGACGCCCTTTTAGCAATATCTGCCACGTGACTGTGCCAAGACATGTTGGTCTCTGCAGTAACCCCCAAGATGTTCAACTGACTCTGTAATGTGACAGCACTTCCAGATAGCATGATGTTTGGCTCACCGGTGCTGGTCTTTTTTGAAAACAGAGCTGCTTGGGTTTTCTGCGCGTTGAACTGTACAAGGTTTTTGTTACCCCAGTCCTCTATTATCTCCAGGTCGTTAATTATCTGCGATATTTGTGTTAGTCTAAGATGATGGAATTCACGTGCGGAAAGACCTGTGGGTGGTATGAGTAAGGAGACTACATTGCCATCGTCTGCAAAGCAATAAAGTGGATTTACTGTTTTACCTATGAGGTCATTTATGTAAATCAGAAAAAGAGTTGGCGAAAGGATTGCTCCCTGTGGCACACCAGCATTTATTTGGTAAGAGTTGGAGTTCTGGCCATCCAGTGCAACATAAATGGATCTGTCCTTTAGGTAACTTTCAAACCAAGTGCAAAGTTTCGGCGATAATCCCATTGCTTTGAGCTTGTTGAGCAGATTTTCATGCCAAACTTTGTCGAATGCTTTAGATATATCTAAGGCAATTGTTCTTGTTTCACCCCGCAACTCAATCGCTTTTTGCCATAAGTGAGTGACGTATGTAAGTAAATCGCCAGTTGACTTATATTTTCGAAATCCGTATTGCTTATCGTTAATAATTTTGTACTTTTCCAAGTACTTGGTTAGGTGATTGTTCACAACTCTTTCCATTACTTTTGATATCACCGGAAGTAGAGCAATTGGTCTATAGTTTATAGTTTCATATGACCCATTGCCTTACTATCGACTAAAATTCAGAGCAAGATGGATTGAAATATCTGTTGTTTTGTTTTTTAAATATTTTCCTCTCATATCTTGTCCAAATTTTATTTATACAGTTGAAATGATTCTGAATATTCCACCATCGGTGGTAACATCTATTCGTCTGAAAAATATACATAAATATAGGTACCTATCTAAAGTTCGTAATTCCAACTTAATATACCGTTCACGTTCTCTAATCCAATTTTTCATTAGTGTCTCTTAGTAGGAATTTAAATTTTATAAATTAAAACATCTAGGATTATCTTTTCTTACTGGAAACTCAAAGTTATTTTAAGGACAAATTCTTTTAAAAAAATACTCTAGAACGTGTCTATAATCAAATAACTGGTATCCAAAGCCTGATAATACAAGAAATTAGTCATATTGTGTAAAAACTTAACGAAAAATGGAATTAGTTTCTCGCTTTAGAGAAGAATATAAATTCCAAAATACTCTATTATAAATTAAAATATAAAAAGCTTCCTGAGAAACTTTAGGAACAGGAGATTTGCCTTTGGAAGGCACGTTCTGAAATAGGAATTTTAATTTCTATCCGGTCGTGAATTATTTTCAAATTTATTCGCCACTTATTATTATGGAAAATCCTTGGAAATTTAATGATAAATCTGGTCAAACAAGGAAGTAGGTGAAGTTTACCTATGAAATCGAAATAAAAAGAAATCGTTTTGCATTCAAATGCCTCCGATTTAATTTCCTAAAAGGAAACTTGTTTACGATCTTTTTGCTTTTAAGAATGAAATTTTAAACGAAGAAAGTTCCAATAGAAAATTAAATTTCTTTTAAAGCGATATTCAATTTTCATATAGCTAAGTTAGATCATAATAATTTTAAGAAGCAAAAGGATTGAAGCTCCCTATCTAAATTCTTCAATATTATAGAGAATAATTACGCCTCTGTTCTAGGGACTAAGGAACAAATGGTCCTTCAAACCTATTTACAATTTATTTATGTTAGGCCTCCATAATTGCTAAATGTTGGTTTTGTATACTCTCTCTCTTGGGCTGATGAATGACAGGATCAAATTAACCATTCGAGACAATTAAAGCTTATTCAAATGAAGGGATTGAAGCTTTTAATGAAAAAAGCAAATTCTTCAACAAAGTTATTTGCCTGGCGTGTTAATTTTTATTTAGGTTATAGAATAGCGTGCTTTGGCAAGCGAAAAATAGTTTTGAACAACAAAGGCACAAAACTTATGCCTTTAAATTATTATAAATGAACTCAATGAGAATTTTTTGTTGTCACTGGACAACTCCTGGACAATAAAGAGATTTTTGTTGTTATATTTAACTAAGTACCTACTCGATGATTGATTATTGTATGTTATACCAATCCATTTAACAGTTGATTATATGATCAACAAAAATAGAATAAATATTCTATCTATTTCCTGCTTCTATAAAAATGTTACCTTTGCAAAATTAGTTTGTAATTAAATATCTAATTTGCCTGGAAAATGTTTATATTTAGGAGCTAATTAGGTTGTAATAGAATTTCCAACATACCCTATTAATTGGTTTAAAGTGTTAAAGTTTAATTAAAACCATGTACCATCCATCCATGATGTTGGTGCAATCGATCATGGTAAACTCACCAGCTACTGAGAATTATTATTGTAAAATATCAAGTTGCGATTTCGACGTCGTATAAAATATCGTGAGAATCAAATTAAAACAAAAAGAGTAAGGTCAGAACAATTTTGAGCTGTTTTTGAAAGGCATAAGTATCTTCATTGTATATTTCAAGAAAAATCTGTTAGTGTGGTGGATATTTTTTTTATTTTGATGGATTTACATAGTTTTCAGGAAATACCTATACATTGTAATTTTTTTATCCTTGAGTGAATCTTGCATTCTTTGTCAGCTTACTTTAAAAACAACGATCTTCGAAATGTATTTGGGCGAAAAGCTTTTTGCTCAGCTTAAATCTCCATTTCACTTGATGAAAAAACCACGACAGCTGAAATGAGAATCACACAAGCGTAAGGGAAGTATCGAAGGTACATACTTTAAAACACTGAAAAAGTTGGATGTGGAAAGCTTTTAGGTGTTCTGTAATTGAGAAATAATTTCAAAAAAGCGCATGTTATCTAGAATCCACCTTTAGATAGAAGAATTTTCTTTTGTATCGTATACGATACAAATAAAAACATTTTTTTAAAAAGAAAACTTGGTAATTGAAACTTGATTCACCTTTTCTGATTCTTGTTTGACCTTTTGGATAACAACACAACATTTTTATTCGTATCATCATTATGATCTGAATTCAAGCTTTATGTAATGCTTGAGAGCATTTTTGAGCAAAACTTTGAAATTTTCTTTCCTGTTACAGGTGTTACATACTTATGTCGAGCCTCATCACGTGATACGTAAACGAAATGCAGATCAATCTCTAAGAATTTTATTGTACTACGATCAAAGTGTCTACAGGTGAGTCAGACGTTTTTTTATATCAGATAGTGTATTATTATTAAAATTATCTCCTTAGTGAGCATCATCAAGCACAAAAACCATATTTAGCGTCAAGGCCATTTTAAAGGATTTAATGCTCAATTGTATACTTGATTAAATTTTATAAATTACGTGTTTTTAGATGATAAAGTTTTATGAGAATTATGCAGTTTTGCCTAGAGTGTTTCACTTATTGGACTTACATAGAATTTTATCTTAAATTATCTTTCTTAATGTAGGTAGAATAAATCTGAATTTATGAATATACTTAGGACAGCTTTCATGCTTTTTTGAGTAGGATTTTATGACAATATAAGCCCTCTTTAAGGGTACTAAAATTGAAGTTCTAAGTCTCATAAGTCTCATGGATCTTTTGGAATCATTAGGCTTCCAAATGGACCTCATTTAGGTCTTTTTTTCAATATGTAGTTTAAAAATTTACATTTGGTTAATTTTGGACTGTTTCCAAAGGTTTCTATGGCAGTAAGTTTCATTTAAGGAGTCTTCCAGGTTTTTAATATTTACAGTATAAAGTCTTCTCCACTGGGTTAAAATCAAATTCCAAGTCTTACATTATGGATCTTTTAGAATCACTCCAGGCTTCCAAATGGACCTCATTTAGGTCTTTTTTCAATGGTTTAAATATTCAAAATATTTATTAAAAATCTTCATTTCTGGTTAATTTTGGGCTTTCTTAGTTTCCACAGGTTTATATGGCAGCAAGTAAGCCTTCTTCAGCGGTTTAAAATTCAAATTATGAGTCTCATTCAAAACCGGTAAGAAGTCAGCAGCCCAAACTTGGCAGGCAATTTGACGGAAACACTCGAAAGATCATTGGCGTTAATTCAAAATAAATTCAATATACCATACTTAGACATCGAGTCTAGCCATGAAATTGATAGAACACTATTCCAACACCTTTTTCATAGAGGTTGAAAAAAATCCCATTGACTCGAATCTCGCGCCAAAATATGAAATACTACCTACCCTTAACAAATAAAAATGTATAAATATTGAGATTTTCGTATTTTTTTCCAACACGGACTTCGAGTCTTGCCATGAAATTAATAAAGTACTATTTCAACATCATTTCAAATCTCAAAGCGAAATCCTATTGACTCAGACCCCGTCGAAATATGAAAAACTACCCTTAACAAGTAAAAATGCATAAATATTCAGATTTTAGTATTTTTTCCCGAATCGGACTTCGAGTCTTGTCTTGAAATATAATAGGTACTATTCTAACACAATTTTCAACCCTCACGCAAAATCCCATTGACTCAAATCCCGTCGGAATATGAAAAACTACCCTTAACAAATAAAAATGCATAAATATTCAGATTTTAGTATTTTTTCCCGAATCGGACTTCGAGTCTTGTCTTGAAATATATAGGTACTATTCTAACACAATTTCCAACCCTCATGCAAAATCCCATTGACTCAAACCCCGTCGGAATATGAAAAACTACCCTTAACAAATAAAAATGCATAAATATTCAGATTTTAGTATTTTTTCCCGAATCGGACTTCGAGTCTTGTCTTGAAATATATAGGTACTATTCTAACACAATTTCCAACCCTCATGCAAAATCCCATTGACTCAAACCCCGTCGGAATATGAAAAACTACCCTTAACAAGTAAAAATGCATAAATATTCAGATTTTAGTATTTTTTCCCGAATCGGACTTCGAGTCTTGTCTTGAAATATAATAGGTACTATTCTAACACAATTTCCAACCCTCATGCAAAATCCCATTGACTAAAACCCCGTCGGAATATGAAAAACTACCCTTAACAAATAAAAATGCATAAATATTCAGATTTTAGTATTTTTTCCCGAGACGGACTTCGAGTCTTGTCTTGAAATATAATAGGTACTATTCTAACACAATTTTCAACCCTCACGCAAAATCCCATTGACTCAAACCCCGTCGGAATATGAAAAACTACCCTTAACAAATAAAAATGCATAAATATTCAGATTTTAGTATTTTTTCCCGAATCGGACTTCGAGTCTTGTCTTGAAATACACTGCACAGCATAATTAGCGCATAGGTTAAATTTACCATTTTCTTTTTTTGGTTCTCATTTTTTTTTGGAATAATTTTTCTGCATGCGGTTTTCGGCGTTCGGAAGTTGTTTTCGTCTAGATTACGCGGCAAAAACAATTTTTTAGAAGGAATGTTATTTTCATGTTATACAGGGTGATTCATGAAGTAATGCAACAATAGACAAATTAGGGGTGTGTGTCTGGCCTGCAATAATTTTTTTTTCGCGATCCAGTATGAACCGTTGATAAACTGCTGTCAATATCTCCAGACGTTTTTAGCAGTTTTCTGGTAAAGGCCCTTTTGACGCAGATATACCACTGAATAAAAAATGGGTCAAATTATTGTTAAACAATTTTCAAAGGGCTGCTGCGTGAAAACGGCTGAACCGGTATTGGTCAGCATATCGGATTTTGGAAGCTCCTTTTCTGTAGATTTTTTTTGACGCAATAGCTTTTCTTGCGGATGTCCCTTATCACATTATACAGGGGTCGAAAAAATCACGTACCTAAAATTGTGCAAATTTTGGTAAATGCTCGCTTCAAAGCTATGCCAATTTGGCTGTGTGCTTTCGTTTTGTTACACAATTGGTCAGTTGAAACTTTGGATCAATATATCGGTACAGATTTCTCAATTTTTGGATTAGTGCCCCCCGAGTGCCTTTTTGGCAGTCCGACTTAGAAATGCTGTTGCATAGAAACGGCCTGATACATTTTGAATATTTTTTCGATTTTGCAAGCTCATTTTATGAAAATTATTACGCTATTACTGTTAATACAAAATTCCGCATTGTACAGGGGTTAGCGAAAAGGTAAAGGTAAGTTTTTCAGAAATCAGATAAATCCTGTAGATATTGTCAAGTGGGCGGTACTTTGGGTCAATATCTCAAGACGATTACTTCTGTTTATAAACAAATGCCCCTGAGTGCCTTTTTGCAGCGCCATTCAATAAACGGAAAATTGAAAACAAATTTTGACAAGCATTTCGAAAAAAAAAATTTTTTGGATAATTACTGATCCAAAATATAGCCTTTTAGCGAAAAAGTAAGATTAGGTAATTTGTTGGAAATTAGGTAACAGCCAAACAATATATTCTTGGGTAGTAGCTAAGTCTACCGTCGAATTTACTTATAATAATTTTGAAAACTGTGCAGTGTGCAATGACTTGTGTGAATTTTGTGAATTTATAAAAAAACAATGGTTGTTTACAATATCGAAAAAAAGGAGATAAGAACAATATTCCTTAAATGTTTGATCGTGGACTGTAGCATTTTCAGTTAGTATTTCGTGTGTGTATTGGAAACGTTTTACTTTAGTCGGTGTACTTAAAAAAAATGGCCCAAAACGCACGCGACCTGAGAAATCATTCGCCTGAAGAATGTGCTGCTGCAATAGCACTTGTGGAAGAAGGCTTGTCACAAGCTGAAGTGGCACAACGTTATGGAGTGACACAATCTGCTATCTCCAGAGCACTAACACGATTTCGGGAGACCGGTAGTAATCAAAGAAGACTAGGACAAGGACGATCAAGGGTGACAACGAATGATCAGGATCGATTTTTGCGAATGCAGGCATTACGGACTCGGTTTGTTACACGCACAGCGCTGCAGCAAGAATTCTCTCGTCGGTATAACTATCGTATTAGTCAAGATACAGTGAGGAGAAGGTGGCAGAAAGCACAATCACTCCCTATCGAGCAGCAAGAGCTCCCCTTCTAACCCAGCAGCATCGAAGGCAACGTCTTCAATTTGCCCTGGAGCACGAAAATTGGGGTGGCCGTGAATGGGGCAATGTATTGTTTAGCGACGAATCAAGGTTTTGCCTCTTTAGTGATGACCGCCGTTGTAGAGTATATCGACGTCCTGGCGAGAGGTATGCCCAATGCAACATTTTTGGAACAGTGAGCTACGGGGGAGGTTCTGTAATCGTATGGGGTGGCATAAGTATGGATGCTCGCACAGAATTGGCTGTGATTCAGGGAGGTCGTTTGACAGCTAACCGATACATAACGGAACTTTTGGAACCCCATGTGGTACCATATGCCCCATTCATTGGAGAAGATTTTTTATTGATGCAAGATAATGCTCGACCACATGTGGCTGGAGTTGTGCAAGATTACATCCACTTTGCCCTGGCCGCCTAGAAGTCCTGACTTTAACCCAATCGAGCACCTTTGGGACAACATGGGTCGACAGGTTAGAGCGTTAATGCCTCCTCCCAGGAACCTTGATGAGCTCTCTTTGAGGCCTACGGAAATATGGGATCAGATGAATCAGGAGACAATAAGAAATCTAATTTTAAGCATGCCAAGAAGATGCGGAGCAGTAATTAGAGCAAGAGGAGGCAACACACATTACTAAATTTTGTATTATTATTTATTGAGCCAAATTGTGAAATTAAATGTTATTTTTGTCCTTAAGCCTGCATTTTAATTATTCCGATGCTGTGTGCATTAAATGAAATTAACTTTGATCTACAGGACATTTGATTTCGGTAAGTAACTTCTGGAAATAACTAAATTTTGAATCTGTAATAATCTAAAAAATAAGCTTTCAACATCGGAGAAGTTCGTGAAAATCCATTATTCTTTTCTCAATTTCCAACTTATTGAAACTGTTGTGCTGCCAAAAAGGCATTACGAGGCCCTATTTACAAAGAGTAGTAATCATCTTGAGATATTGACCCAAAGTATCGACCACTTGACAATATCTACAGGATTTATCTGATTTCTGAAAAACTTAACTTCACCTTTTCGCTAACCCCTGTACAATCCGAAATTTTGTATTTACAGTAATAGCGTAATAATTTTCATGAAATGAGCTTGCAAAATCGAAAAAATATTCAAAATGTATCAGTCCGTTTCTATGCAACAGCATTTCTAATTCGGACTGCCAAAAAGGCACTCGGGGGGGCACTAATCCAAAAATTGAG